ACACTTCCTCTAGACCATGGGCACAACAATGGGCTCCAAAATGGCTCCGCAATATACCAACCTTTTTATGAGCCATCTGGAAGAAGAATTCCTCAAGGACTGCACCATCAAACTCTTGCTATACTTAAGATATATCAATGACATCATCATTTGGACCGAAAACCTGCAATCTCTGATTGTTGAATTTCTGATGGAAATCAATCATCACCCCTCCATCAGACTATTTCTTGAACACGCCAGGACCAACATTTCCTTTTTAGATACTATGATCATTATCCAAAATGGTAAAAGACAGACCACCATATAAAAGAAACCCATGGACCAACATACGTATCTGCACAAAATCAGCAGTCACCCTAAACATGCCAAGAAAACTGTAATATACAGCCAAGCCCTCCAATACCACTGAACTTGCACTGTGGAGAACGCCCGTGATTGTTCCCTCACAAATCTCAAGAGGGCTTTCACTCATCAAGAGCATTCCTCCAGAGAGAGAGATCACACATTTGAAAGAACCACCTGGATACCTTGTGAAGAATTGCTGCAATACAGAAAGAATACCCCCATGAATTGCACACCACTAGTTATGACATACCACCTCTCCCTATACAGAAAATCCTCAAACAATTGCATCCCACACTAGAAGAAGACTCAATTCTTAAAGAGATCTTTTCAGAACCACCCGTCCCAACCTTTAAACAAGCAGTGAACCTCACCAACCTCATCACTAGAAGCAAACTTCGTATGGCCCAAAACACAGCAAATGGATCCAGACCATGCCATGACAAGAAATGTAAAACATGCCAATATACCCCACAACAGAACCATCAACATTCCTTGGACAGGTGGCAGAAGCCTGGGGCTAACAGGGCTTAGCCCTGCCAAACTTTTCATGGTGACTGGCAACATCAGCAGCACAACAGCATCACTGTCCTGCAGCACCCGGTGCCACTTGGTGTGCAGCCACTCCTCTGCCACCGCACACAGCAGCAGTGTGTGTCAGCCCCATAATAGCCATGCAGGAGGGAGGGGCGGGTGTCAGGCAAGGCTCAGCACCCCCAAATAATATTTTCCCCCACCGCTTATGATTCCTGGATCTTACACCTGCACTTACAGAAATCTAATGTATCTTACCCAGTGCACTAAATACCCAGATGGAAAATATGTAGGAGAAACCAAACAACAACTGTGTACCAGAAGGAGCGCACACTGAAAATCTATCAAAGACAAGAATACCCAGTTACCTGTGGGGAGACATTTTTTGCAAGAAAACCACTCTCTTCAATCTCTCAGTTCTAATCCTCAAAGGGAATTTACAAAACACCTTTCACGGACAAGCCTACGAACTTCACTTTATCAACCTACCGGATACAAAAAATTGTGAACTAAATATAGACATTGGATTTATGACTTATTATAATCTGCCTAACATCTGATACCCCAGGTAACCTATTGTGATAGACGGCGCCTTAGGTGAAGTTTACGTTGGGTGACGTACTATCTGTCTGGCGTGGGGCCCCTCCCCTCAACTCGCCTGCCATGACTTGGTGTTATTGAATGAAAGGGAGGGGTTCAGTGGAGATCCTCTTTCTGTGGGATCCTGGGGATGATAGTACTCACTGTCTTGGCGTGATGTTCTGCGGGGCTCTGCTTCCCCTATACCCCATCCACTCGTCAACCAAATGGGTGCCACCTGCGTGGATCAACCATGCCCAGTCTACCCCTTTCATCAGGGGACCAGCGTCGGCGTGGGTCCTGGTGGGCTAGCCTGGCTGTCCTGACGGCTAGCGTCTTTGCCTCAGATGCTGATGAGTAGGCTGGCGTCCTCCTTGTTGCTTCTGGACGGGATGCCTCTAATTTGCTTTTTATCAAAAATAGACCGCTGGAGAGGAGATGGGAGGGGGGGGGCGGGACACTGCCTCTTCTCTCCCAGCCTACTATAGGGGCTCAGCTCCCCCTGCTCTGGATGCTGGCACCGAGCCAGCTGCACTGCTCCTGCCCACCACAAGAGTCTCAGCACGCCTGGCGTGCTCCTTCTCTTCCTTCCCCCCGGGTCCCGGTAGGGCTATTAAATCTTCCCATGGTGGCTGTTCCAGCTGCCGCGATTGGCTTTACTTTTCCCCGCCTGGGGAACAGCTGATTAAACAGCCGGCGTAACGCCGGCTCGCGCGGCTGCAGCTGTGGCTCCTGATCTGGCTCCAGCTGTGCCCCCGGAAGTGAATTTCCCCAGCGGGGGGGGCTGCTTGTGTGGCTTGGGGCCCTCAGGGACTGCCCCCCTCCCCTTCGGGAGCCTGTGGGGGCATCTCGCCACCACACCTCCCTGCTGTTTACCAGCTATATTGTTATCACCAGGTCTACATTCCCCTCCTCTGCCATGTTTCTCACCCATTGACTGCCTCAATTTACATTTTCACTGATGCATTCTCACATGTATACTGGCCTCTGGCTTCTATTCTGTTCCATCCAGGAAGAGCACAAACCAACTGCAGATGCTTCCTCAGCCTTAGAAAGGGTATTTGTACCTGAAACTTGCAAAAAAGAATCTTTCCAACTATTGGAGTTGGTCTAATAAAAGGTACTGGATTTACTCAAAGAACCTCCAAGATAGTGTGCCTTACATATTCAGCACTTTTTAAGCATAGTTAGAACAATTATGCAACAAAACCTTCCATGAATGAACATCAGCCCCTAAAAAAGGATCAGAAAGCTAGAATGCAGGTCACTGAATATATCTACTATGGCAAGGTTTTCCAAACTCATCAGGCCCTGCAGGCTAAGTAAGTGGAGCAATGGGTCTGGTCTGTGGGCTGGATTGGGCTTATCCAGCCCTATGCACTATGTGCATTGTGTGCCCTGGACTGGCCCCATGTGCCACATGTAGCACACATGTCCAGTGAGAGAACAACTGGTAGCACTGTAGGCCAGATGATTGGGCTTCATGGACTGGATGTGGCCTGTGGGCTGTATCTGTGACACTGTTCTCCTACTACTCTGATTTGTGCTATGCTTGAAATGATTAGACTGGTGCAAGTAGCATCACAAGAAAGCACTGCAAATGTGATCTTGACAGGGTAAAGATGCTAGACTGCACCAAGGTAACTCCATAGATGGAAAACAATTTTGGTTTATGAGGGAAAAGCCAGTATTTATGAATGTGTTGTATGAACCTTGATAGAGACATAGCTGTAATAGCAGTGGAGTAAGATCACATTCTAGGTGCCTGCTAATGAAATACAATAAAGAAGAAAAATCTGTTTTCTGACTGAAGCATGTGAAGCAGTTCAGTTTGTTCTTTCTCATGCCACTGTGATAGCCACTGGCAATCCAAGTGTAAAATCTGAGATGATGGCAGATGGAAATGTTTGAGGGTGCATTATAAAATCATGTGTCACTCGCTAGGAATGAAAAAGACTCATTACCTGAACCTCAAAAAGATACCACTAGCCTTAGGGAAAAAACATTCCAGCAGAATATTTCATGGAGTCAACTGAAATCAAATGGACTATTAAATAACCAACAAACATCAAAAAACCATTCATGGAGTACAAATGTACTTGATCAAGAATATTGACATTAGTAGTTGTCTCATGGTAGCAAAGAGAAAAGAAAAAATGTAATATTTTAAGATTCCCACTAGAAACACAAAATTATTTGAAACCTAACAAGCCTTTCAACATAAAAAAGCAAAATTACTTGGTACAGAAAACAAAGGTGTAGCTCTATGTAATCACTGCAGGAGGGGAGGGTAATGAACTTCATAGATTGTAAGGCCAGAAGGGACCTTGAAAGATCATCGAGTCCAGCCCCCTGCACCAAGCAGGAAAGAGAACTGGATAATTTAAAAGGAAGAATATTCTCTGAACTGTGACTGCTAAACTCTTCCATGTTACATTAGTCATTTTTATACTGTAGCTACATGTCACTTATATCAGAGTGCATTTGAGTGGTCTTTTATGAAGTATGTAAGTCTTTTACAACTGCTGTGTCCTTGAATTACACATCCATTTCCCCAATTACCGGTATATGAATGAGATTTGCAAATACAACTGCTCACTGCCTCATGTTTCTCTAACCCAGGTTAATATTACTTTGTTTTTTCTGGCTAATAAAAATTTGATTATTACTTGTTATTCATGGTTCAGCATAAATGTAATAGATTTAGACTTCAGAGGGAATCTGAGGGCAGTAGTGTATAAAGCCATATTGTATATCTTCTGTAAAATCCATGAGCTTCAGAAGAGCTTCAGTAAACTCTGGTTAATTTGCCAGTCCAAGGAGAATGTAAATAATGGCAAATTATCAGGGCTTGATAAAGATGGATTGAGGGAACCGTGGCAAGGAATTGGAACAAAGGTGAATTGAACCACAGTGAAGAATTATCCCATAGGTGAATTAAATAGTTTTCCATACAACACCTTTTTGCACCTGTGGATCTGGTCCAAAGTCTCCCTGTACATGTGTAGAGTGTAAAGTTATTTATTGTTTTTTATTTTTGGAAGTACTGAGCTCCTGTAGGTCCAGGTCTATTTTTAAAAAAAGCAGTTAATATCAACTAACTTTGACAACCATGCCACTCTGCTCAAATCTGCTACAATATATATTGGATCATAGTAACTTTTTCTCTTAATGGTAGAGAGAGGGAAAAATTTTTGACAGGCCTATTTTCTATTGTTATTGTCTGAGGGACAGAATAGCATAGAATAGCAAACCATCCCCTGTAATGTTTGCAAGCACCCATGTTCAGAGATGGGGTCAGAGCTGGTTGTAAGTAGGAAATCCCAGAAATGTGTCTGTTACTAACATTGAATTAACAAAATGTCTTTTGTATTTCAAGTTTTCTAAAATATTTCCAGTGTTTATCCAAATCAAGATGTTCATTTTAAATCTGTGACATGATTTGATATTCAGAGTTAATTTAGTCAGTTGAGATTTGGGAGTGAACTCTATAAATATCTCAGATATTTTCTTCTATCTCATATGTGTCTTATTTTTAAATCCAGGGACTCAAGACGCCATTGCAATGTGTCTGCATGTGCAGACAAAGCAAGCTGTCAATGACACCCTTTGTGATGTCTCCAAGCGACCACCACCCATGAGTCGTACATGCAACCTGAAACTTTGCCCTCCAAGGTACACTCTAATAATGAAGTCACACTGTAGAAAATAAAGGGTTTGGTATATCTTAAATCAACATTGACTTTCTCAGGCAAGGCTCAGCTTATATGATCAGGGCCTTGGTTTTGAGGGAAATTTCAGCATTTCTACCAGTAGCAGATTTTCTTGTTTTTCTTCTGATGTCCCCCTCCTATCTCTCCCTTCCCTCCATCCTCCCCTCCACTCCCCCCCCCACCCAAAAAAAAGGCAAAATTCCTTTCTGAAACAAATCACTTTTCTTCAGACATTTGTCCCATATGAAAAATCAATATTGCCAAACTGAAGTCTATCACATCATATTAGTAATCCAGGTAGATTGCCTTTCTTTCTTTTGGGGGGATTGGAGGAGACAAGCATTTATCTTTTCATGAAAACCAATAACATCCTCATTTATAGGGAATGGATATCTACTTTTCATTTGCAGAAATAATAATAATCATAATAATCCTCAGATGAAACTATCTCATAGATTAAATGTAATGTTTGTTTTCTGGAATGCTTTTAGGAGTCTTGTGTAAAACATTCCTGGATTTGTTTCTTTACCTGCTATGATTTGTTAAGCTAGGGAGATACTGGAAAAAGAACAGAGACAGTTTAAGACCAAGATCATTTATTTATCTTATTCTTTGAAAATGTTCTTTGTGAAATCCTTGTGAGCTGTCTTAATTACTTATTAAATATTCCTAAAGTAGATCCACATATTGCAATAACATGTTTTCTGAAAACTTCTCCTACAAAATGTACGGAGTAAAAGTTATGGGGAGAAGCATGCTTTATAAAAATGTATATGAATTTAATGAACAACTTCATAAATATCAGAAAAAGTCCGTGCGTCAGATTTATGGATGTAAATGTCGGTCTGTTGCCAACTGGCGGCTGATGATCTTGTGAGAGACATTTTTGAGGTAAATTCTGGTACCACATGAATTTACTTAGAATAGCTCTTTCTATAGATAATTTATATATTCCCTTCTTATCTTCAGATTTATAAATGTAGTTATATTTCTTTATGGCACATGTAGGTGATGTTCTGACCCTCGCAGTATAACACTTCTGTTTCTTGTTTGCACGGTTCTGCTTAGATAAGATTTGGTTGGGGCCAGTCCCTTTCCCCCTATATTCTTCTGCAGTGTTTAATTAGAATGCAGGTTTTTTACTGTGTTTTTGGAATAGGTGGCAAACTGGTCCCTGGAGACAGTGTTCTGCTACTTGTGGAGTTGGGATACAGACACGAGATGTGTACTGCCAGCAGTCGGGGGGAGCCACTGTTGCTAATAAGGACTGTAAAGACAAAAAGCCTCACACTTTACAAGCTTGTAACCAGGTTGACTGTCCCCCTTCTTGGCATGTGGAAGAATGGCAACAGGTACAACAGATAATGGAAATGGTTTAATTGTAAGCATTTTTTCCTTTGGTTAGTTACTTAATATGCTCTAATAGGAGTAATCTTGAGGGTCACTCTAAAACTTTAGCTACCATACTATGATTGCAACTAACATCATTTGAAAAAAGTAGCCCAGAGAAAGCCTGCTTTCTACTCTTTGTAGAGACCAATTTACTTTTGAATGAGATTCCAAGTTTACTTAAGATTTCAGAAACTGTGAATGACCCAGATCAGACTTAGTCCAGAGAACACCTCTTATTATATATTCTGTGGCTAGGGACACAAAGTACACGTAAACCAGTATAAGCAATTGGAAACTGGTTCCAATCTGTAAGACGGCAGAAGTTCAGTGCACATAAACCACTTTCAAAGTGGTCGAAACCAGTTTAAGATAAACCTGGATGGATAAATCTGGATGGAAACCAGATTTAACTGATTTAGGTTAAATCAGTTTATTGAACGTCTGTCCCAGATCCCCTCAAGATTCAAGTTAACTCACAGTCCTCCAGCATCCCATGATGCTTTGCACCTCCCCTGCAAACCCCTGTCATGGTGGGTGGGCTAGCCTTGGCCCAAACTGTCTGCTCCAGCTGATCAGGGAGGCATGCTGTGGTGCTCCCTGGTTTCTGGCCTGAACCACTGCAGGCATGTGGCTGCATTTCGAGAATCAAAAGTGAATGTTAGTTCACTTGCTTTTCTGTTCAATCTACGCAGCTTAGACCAACCTGCAAAAATTGAATTGGTCCAGCTTTGCGCTTTTTGACTCTGTACTTAGCCTGTAAGTCTAGTAAACTGCATTGAGAAGCATCACTTTATTTAACGTGTTCACAAGCTTTCTTAGCTCTCACTAGATATGCATCTGATCATGAACTTAGCCAGGTCAATATACAAGACGTTCATCTTTCTTCAGGATTTCCACTAACTACTTGTACTGGAGTCCTCTGGCATTTATCCCACTAGTTATATTTTTCTGGCCTGTGGCCCATTTGCTAAATCAATTCTAGCTGGAATATATGCTGCTTGGTTTTAGAGATGTTGCTTATATAACATGTTCCAAGAATATATTGTGAGGGATACCTTCTAAGTGCCTATGTTAAATAGAATTGTAAATGGGTGAGGACAGATGTGAATACTTATATTTTCTTCATTCTTTTCTTCATATTAGTGTTCTCGTACCTGTGGAGGGGGGATTCAGAATCGCAAAATATACTGTAAACAGTTGTTGACAGATGGAAGCTTCTTGAAACTCTCTGATGAGGTCTGCCAGGAATCTAAATTGTCGTCTAGTAAACCATGTGCAAAAATTGATTGTCCTCCTCAAATAGTTATAGGAGAATGGTCCAAGGTGAGTGTGCCAGAACCTCTCAATACAAAGAGAACACTTGGGTTTTCTCTCTGAGAGACTAATAAACCCATATACTTTAGGTAAGTCACCACTTAAGGTCATGCAGAGCTCCAAGAGGAGCTCAGTACCCTGGGTAAGATAGTGATTCCTGTGCAACGGCATCCTTTAATAAAGATCAGTTAAAAATTAGCAAGTATGAAAAATTGCACAGCAATTTTGTCTGACTATACCCTTCCTTTCACAGTGCTCTGTAAGCTGTGGTGTTGGCATCCAAAGAAGAAAGCTTGCCTGCCAAAAGCTAACAGCAAAGGGCCAACGTGTGAAATTAAATGGATCCTTATGTAGTGGTCCTCCTACCTCCCCACTTGTAAGGCCTTGTTACATGAATGTCTGTAACAGTAAGTGTGTTACTTTATATAGTGCCTTGCTGATTTGAGATGGTTACAATGTAAAACTCGTGCATGGGTTGTTAAATTAATACATCTCTCTCTACTGGCTGTATTGTAACATTACTACTCAGGGGGAAAATTGAACATTGCAATCACTAGACTAGCAATAACAGGATTTTCTTATTTTAGGCACTTTTATCCCATCAGACCTAGATTCTTTCTATGTACTTATGCACATTTGGTCTGATCATTTACCTGATGCTAATGGTTTAAAGGTGCCTTAAAGTAAGTATCAATGACTTTTACACCCACATTAAAGCCTTACACTACCAGCGAGGTGTAAGGGGGACCTTAGTGTAAATGAGAATGGAGCTTGCTCTGTACTCCCTCAGTGTGCATTCATCTCACACTGAGATTTACACTCCCATTAGTGCTGTTAAAAGTTACAAAACTCAAAAATCCCATTCCACTGGTGATCTCAGAAGTACATTATATCCATGCTAAGAGGGTATAATTCCCAGTAATATTGGCTTCATTTGGAGTTCTGAGGGCTCACCAGCAGCAAGAACAAGCACACCTTAAACATACTATAACACTGTCAGAAACTTATAAATGTTCCCACAAAATTGGGCATGCAGAAGTTTGGTACACCCTTGTCATTATAATGACTGTAACTACACTAAATACTGCTCAGGCCACTGTATGTACAGTCAGTAGCGAATCCAGGAATGGGGCAAGAGGGTTCAGCCCTTCTACTTTGGCTGTGTCACACTTGCACTGTGAACTCTGAGCTTGCTACTCAGACAGAGTGGGTGTCTGCCAGAGCTCCATGTGAGCAGTGAGCTCTGAGCTCACTAGCTTATCGTGGCAGCGTCTGGCCAGAGCCCCTGCTTTCACATGACTCCGGAGCCCAGGTGGGGGAACATTGCTGGTGTTCTTCCCTCTCCATCCTCCTCCCACTGAATTCAGCAGCAAGGAGAAAAAGGGGATGAAGGCAGCAGCGGTGCTAACCCCCTGAGCTCTGGAGTCTCGCAAAATCAGGGATTCCTCCCAGACCCCACTTCAAGAGCTCATATGCAGCACAGCCAAGGAGGGGTGTGACTGTCCCACCACATCCCCTCTGAATCCATCCCTGTGTACTGCCACTGTGAAAGGACATTCAAGACTGTGGATGAAATAGTACATACAGGTTCTTTCAATTTGGGCAAACATTTTTTCTTTGTTTGACAGAAAGGCACTTATGAAGGAGTGGCTTAATGTCAAAGACAGTTTGGTAAAACTCCACTGAACACAAAACATTTGATTACAACTATTCAAGTGAAAACATTCACTCTGGTCTTGTAAGAGTTAAAAATTTTAGATGATACTGATACATAAATATACAGGCTAATATGTGGAGGCCCCGTAGTTTAAACCTTGTAAATGGGCTTGTCCAGAAATAGCTACTTGGTTGTGTGTTTCTGAGCTGTGCAAGAAAAGGTTATTCATAAAATAAAACAAGAAATAGAGCAATTACAGATTTGTACATAATACAAAACTTCTTTCCTGGACTTTGTTTCAGATAATCATGCCAAAATCCTGAGGTTCCAAACACCACTTAAATAAAGCCCTGTGGACTTCCAGGAATGTCCTTGGCATAGGGCTTAATAGAATGCTTTGAGCTGCATATCTATCTGAATTTAATTAATTGTGGATAGTTGAATGGCAATGTGGCTGGTCTGCAAATTGCTTAGTGGAGAGTGATGTTAAAGTAACAATGTCAGCTTCCACTGTAATAATACGAGAGCAACATGTGAAAACTTACAGTGATTAGTAGGGCATGAAATAAAGCGCTGAACAATATTATGAAAGAGGGCTAATGACTGTATTTTTCCTTCATGTCCTCAAACTTTTTAGGACAGTGCAATTTATTGGCATCTATAAGGCTAGAGTCTACCTGGCACTTACAAAGTATGCAAAAAAAAGGAAAGGGAAAGGAAAGCATAAGGTACTTTCAAACCCCATATCTCCACTTTACCTCTCATACAAGGGATCAGGAGCACTAGCAATCCTTGGATTCAAAAGATCATTCAGGGTTTGTTTCCTCCTTGTATATACAAAGGTTCAAGTTGTCATCAAAGGAGTGGGTAGGAAGCAGGAACAGGGCATATCCCTAGACAGTACAGCTGGCCAGCTGCAGGCAACACTCCTCTAAGTGATGATGTCACTTAGGGCCTTGTTATACCTTATGCTGTAAGCTGAACAAATGTTAATTGGCTTAATGATGTTGATCTTATTGGAGCAGTTGCACCTTAAGGCAAAAAATCATCTCAGACTGTCCTTTACCTTCACAGCTGTGACTTGACACTAGAAGCTTGGTGAATATGGTCAGGACTGGCTCGCTGCTCCTGCTGGGCAGAGAGCAGGCCCACCACCAGTTGCAGCAGTTTCCCAGAGGCCCTCTGGTCTTGCTCAAATGAACAGTGACTCTACACTGAGCAGGGCTGTCAGACTTGAGGCCTGGCAGCCCTGCTCTCAGTGTGGAGCTGCCGCAGCTTAACAAGACCAGAGAGCCCCAGGGAAGCCACTTGGTCTCATCATGCTGAGAGCAGGGCTGCCAGGACTTAAGCTGGCCAGCCCTGCTCTCAGTGCGGAGCCGCTGTGTCAGTTTTGGTGAGACTAGAGAGCCCCAGGGAAGATGCAGCCCTGGAGCTTTCTCGCTTTGTCCAGCTGAGCCCCTGAGAAAGCTCCTTGCTATCTGTGCGGCTGCAGTGCCTGCCGGTGCTGCCCAGAAAGTTTCACCACCTGAGCTTCAAGGGGCTCCACATTGATGCTGGCAGGAGCAGTGAACCAATCCAGGCAACACTGGGAGACAGCATGGCCGCTAGGGATGTGGCACATGCTGTGCCCAACGTCCCTTGGCCCTAATACAGTCCAGCATCCCAACTCACCCTGACTTGGGAGGAGCCGCTGTGTTCTGGGATACTGAAGGACTTCAATTTGGGCAGAATAGGTATCTGGAATGTCCACACCTTAATGGAACAGGATCAAAACTAGGCAGATTAGAGAAAACCCTGCCCTGGAGCTGAGTAACTTTAAGACAAATAACAAGTGTTTTAGGCCACTTAAAATGTGTTAACATGCAGCTAAACCAGGCATTAAGAGCTCCAGAAGCCACCTAATATTGCCCTTACATACCCTGTCAGAAAAGAGCAGAAAGGAGTGGGGTGGTATTTTGTAAGATGTTGTGCCTCCCAGGTCTCCCACTGGGTAGGGTGTTTCTCTCAACATGCCTTCCTCAAAACTGTACCTTCGTTGCACAGTTGAGCCCTTCATTTCTACCATCTACTAATGCTGGTGTGACTTTTTAGATCAATCTTTATTGTTTAGACAGCATCACTGTAGATTCTTTCTATGTTATATAGGCCTAATCCAATCAGAAAAACCTGATATTCTTGGCTTTGGGAAACACATAGCACTGTAGCCATAGAGCCTGGTCCTTAGCTAGAATAAATATATATTACACCACTGGAGGCAATGATGCAAGTTAGATATATTTTTACCAGCTGATGCTCAGACCCATGCAGGTATTATCAAGAAGGTTTATTATCAAGAGACCAGCACCTTCACACTACAAGTACTGATGTTACCAGGGATCCAGTGTTCAAGTATATGGCCTGCTCTGCCCTCCACAAAGTGGAACTTTCAGGTTTAATATCACCATCAACCCCCCAATATGCACATTTTTGCTCTTTGGTGCCGAGATACTATCAAGAGTTCCCAAAGTCATTTTTTACAAAAAGAAATTAATCAGACTCATCAAATTACTTGTTAGCATGCTCTGGCTTGAGTTCTGCATTAGAAAACCTAAAGTATACACAAAGTATTTTAATTTTTGTGTTCAACATTATACTTGCTGTGTATGTATATTTGGTTGGAAAATTGAAGGTTTAATCCTGGAGCGTTCACATAAAAATAAATATTTTTGGCCCAATAGTTATTAGAAACAGGATGCTACTTCAGTAATTTTAGTCAGCTCAGTGCCTGAAGCAATTTGTTGGATAGTATAAACTAGTTGGTTGGGGGACCTGTATATGTTCATAACAAACACTGATTTAAGAGCTGTGTAATTATGGAACCATGATATCCAAGTTGGTCAGAACTCATTAGCCAAAACATTGAAAATAATGTTTTGTTTTATAAGCAAAAGAAAGCACTCTGGATTGTAGTTCATATGATGTATGTATTTTTTTGCATGTTTGAAGCATTAACCTTTTGCTTTGTAACATATTCAAAACATATGTACATAATATCAGAAGCATGCAGGTTTTTTAAATATTCGCATGCTGTCAAGGGCTGTCATTTTATTTCTGTTCTTATCAAACGGGGTTGTACTAATAACAGTAGATAACAGCAATGATAGTTGATTCAGCCAAATCTAGGGGTGTTTTACTAATGTTTCTATTTCTCTGACTCATCTGAGCCTTTCTGCAGTTTGCTGGATTTATTTTTCGTCAAATAACAATAGACTGGGTAACCAGCGAAAACACTGCTTTCTAACATCAGTCTAGAAAGTTTCCTGATTCTGCAGCTGATCTGTGTTACCTTGTCTTGTGATAGGTTATATGGTCTTCCTTCCCTTCTGTTTTTCAGGTACCTAATGTTTTCTTAGCTGAGCTCTGAAGATCAAAATGGAGCACACTTGTTTGCCAGTAATGAGTCAATAGAGTAAAACCTGAAACAGTGTAGTGATTCTCTAGGCTAGGCACAGGCATTACGCATAAACCAGTTTAAGTGATCAGAAACTGTTTTAAACCTGTAACAGAACAGACATTCACTGCACATAAACCAGTTTGAAAATGGCTGAAACCAGTTTGAGATAAACCTGGTTGAATGTAGTATCAGACTTAACTGATTTGGGTCAAACCAATTTATGCAATACCTGTCCCAGATCCCTTCCTGGTTTAACTTAAACCAGAGTCCCCCAGCATTCCAGATGCTTTGCAGCCCTGGGTGGGGCTCTCTGCTCCAGAGCAGGGCTGGTCCCACCCCTCTGCTCCGTGGCTGGAGCTCTGGCAGAAACGGCAGGTACAGCAGCATCTGCCTGGCTTCCCCTTGCCCTACCGCCCCCTCACCATGCCCTACTCAAGCAGAGATTCCCCACCTTCCCTCTCCCACAGCACAGACCATAGCTGGCATGTGGTATGCTAGCTAATGCTGAGAGGTGTCTGTGTAAGGCAGACAGGACAGAGGCAGACAGGACAGTGTCTGAGTAGGGCTTTTTGGAGCTAATCAACAGGGCAGCTGGTAATGTCCCTCTGTTCCTTCCTTGGAAAAAGCTGTTTAAGAAGAGCTTGAACTAATGAGAGAGGCTTTTGTTTTCTTGATAGGGTGCTAAACACTGTGTTATCAACTCCCTGCTGGCTCCTTTGCTGGTCAGGAGCAGCAAGGTTGGCGGGGGAACTCCTCCCTAATCAGAGCATCCTGCCAGGGCCTGGCCATGCCCCCATCAGCTCAGCACTATGGAAGGGCACGGAGGGTTGCTGTAGTGCCCCGCAGCATCTAGCCTGAGCCACTGCAGGCATGTGCCTGCATTTCTTCAGTCCAGAGGGAATATCTGTTCAGTTGCATACCAGTTCAGCCCAGCCAGGTTAGACTAACCTGCAAAGGTTGAATCAATTCAGGCTCGGGCTTTTTGAATGTCTGTCCCTAGCCCTACTGTCTCTCTATGTTGGTCCAGCAATTTCTGGGAAGACCTACAACTGTACAGGTATTCCTCACTTGATGTTGTACATGCATTCCTGGAAAATGGCGCATAACTCAAATTTGCATAAAGAGAACCCACTTAACAATGTAACAAACAGGGATACGTTCCAAAACCTTGACTGTACTGACCCCCAGATCCATTTCTACCACTTTTACAAGAACATGTTGGTACTTACCAACAGCAGAGAGTACACACAAGCACAGGGTAGTAGTGAATGTTTAGTTGAGGTGAAGAGAGGGTGATGAAGGCTTAATTGATGGACCAGGGAGAAGGGTAGGAAATATGCTAGTGGGAAGCTTAGAAGCCATAATGGGGATGACAACTACAGTAGTATGTGTCACAAACAATGTGCGAGGAGCCCAAATCCAGACATGAGACTATATTTTGGTGCGTGTCTCTCCCACAATGCACCGCACAAAGCACTCGACTGCGACTTCCACTACACCAATCTCATAACAGTGAATTTACCTTGCATATAACCAATTTTTGGTATAAAAAGGTTCATCACATAAGAACGAATTCGTACATACAGACCCCACACAACGTGAGGTAAACCTGTATTCAGATGTAGTCCTCCATAAGCTACTTAGTGTCCAGGTCTCTGCTGTGCTATGTAGGAGGTACCTCACAAAATATCTACCCTGCCTTTGTACTTAGCTTCAGGCAACTTTTCTCAAATATGCTCTACCTCTATGGATTTTTCAGCCTAACAGCAAGCATCTACTGCTTTATCAGACTTCTCAGGGATTTTGACACTCTCCCTCCTCCCCCTCCCTCTTCCTTCCCGTATCACCTTTTCTGCACTCTT